CACGTTCAAACCCCATAAACGTAGTAAGGACATCGTTAAAATAGCCCATGTGACATCAGTGGCTCAACCAGAATTTTATGAAGCTATGAGAATACTTTTTGTGTGCAAAGAATACAAAAATAACTTTATTCAACAATTTCTTCTCTTCTGTGTCAGTCTTCGACGTGCGTTCAGGAGAGTAGCACGATGCATGCATGTGGTGCTGCTGACGCAGGAGCCGGCGTTCTGATGTAGAACATCCATCTCTCATAGTGCATCTGTATATTGTGGTTCAAATGAGTAAGGCTGGGCAAAAAATTGCAAGTCATCCTCTCTGTTTTAAAAAAACAAAACGTGTACTTGTTTTTCATGAATGTATTTTACAACAATACAAAGAGCAATGTGTAATATTTTACCAGATTAATCCTACACTTATTCACTTTTATTTGTTCCGCACTAAATAATGTTTATTTTTCACTAAATGTTTAGCTTTTATAAAATGATTGTGCACTCATGATTTTTTCAAGAGTAACTTTTGCTGCGGAATTATTATTGTATATATTATTATTATTATATATAATAGTATTTTTGTAATAGATTATGATGATATATTTTTTAATTTGTTATTTTTCTTTCAAATGAAGTCGTCTATATTTAGTAGATTGTGTTTAACGTACAAAAGAGTGATCAGGTCAACACATTGAGATGTGAGAGAAATTCTACACAGATTTTTTTTTTAAACTGCGCTGGTATCGGATTGGTATTAGGGTTGTGATGGTGAGGAAATTTTCCCACCGGTTAATCGACGTGTGACAACACCGGTAATACCGGTATCACCGCGGGGGCGGGGCGTTCCCTCTTTTCCTCGCTTTTAAATAGCTTAAAAGCACCGTGCGCATTTTACTTTCACTTTCAAATAGCAGCAATTCGGAGTAAAGCAATTGTTCGTTTGAATTTTCCCTCTTTTCCTCGCTTTTAAATAGCTTAAAAGCACCGTGCGCATTTTACTTTCACTTTTGAATTTGCGGCAGTTCGGCGTCTATTGCTTGAATGCAACAACCAAATACAACGTCAAACTCACTTTTATTAACAAAACGAATAAAAATACACCATGCTATAGGGCAAGCTATGCCTTACATAAAGTTTAATAGGTATACAAAACTGGAAATAAGTAAACGTATAATATATAACCAAATAAATAAGAAACGTAGAACGTTTATTAGCAAAACGAATGTCAAATAAAATAAATAAATGACAGTTTAAATAAAGTAAAAATCAGCAAACAATGTGGAACCAATTAAATAAGAAACAAATGTTTAAAAAAACTTCCAAAATCAACTTAGATAAACGGCAAAAGTCAACAGGCTTTTCAAAATCCAAAATATTGCCAAACAGGCACTTTTGCATCTAGTTTCGAAACGAAATCATCCGCCATCACTTGTCTGTCTCACCTCACTCTTCTTGTCAGTCAGCTGGACTCACTCTCCTCACTGGAGAAATGAAATCTGATCTGTGATGCGACTGTCGTTCGGCACGCTGCATTGAGCAGGCGCGTTCAGTTTTTAATTGTAGTGTCTGTTCTTTTACTGAACTAAATTATTTTTATTACTATAAAAAATCTAAACTACTGTGGGCTTAACACCGGTATCACCGTCAGCACCGTCTATCGGTATCGGCTGATACTCCAAATTTTTGGTATCGGATTGGTTCTGGAAAAATGGTATCGGTCCACCCCTAACTAATATGCACAATGAAGAAAAATTTAAGTAGGATTTACTTGAAAAAAAGCTAAGAAACAACTTTCACTCATAAATTGCTAGTAAATTTCCCAAACAATTACAAAGAAACATTGAATTAATGGCATTCTTAAATAGAATGACTGAAATAGTTTATCTATATATATACAGTGGGGAAAAAAAGTATTTAGTCAGCCACCAATTGTGCAAGTTCTCCCACTTAAAAAGATGAGAGAGGCCTGTAATTTTCATCATTGGTATACCTCAACTATGAGAGACAAAATGAGAAAAAAAATCCAGAAAATCACATTGTAGGATTTTTTAAGAATTTATTTGCAAATTATGGTGGAAAATAAGTATTTGGTCAATAACAAAATTTCATCTCAATACTTTGTTATATACCCTTTGTTGGCAATGACAGAGGTCAAACGTTTTCTGTAAGTCTTCACAAGGTTTTCACACACTGTTGCTGGTATTTTGGCCCATTCCTCCATGCAGATCTCCTCTAGAGCATTCCCTTTTTACAGTGAATAAATGGAATTCTGCACCACACATGCATCTCATGCTTTAACTGGAGTGTGTCAGCGACAAACTGTCCACAGCCATTTGACAGCACTATACTTTCCACAGTAAAAGTCTATATTAGGAGAATGTGTCTCCGCACAGTGCGCATGTCTCATATTTTCCATAACCAGCCTAGAGCTCTTGGTTATGAGCGTCAACAACCACAGTGAGACCACACAAGAAAAAAATAAGCATGTGAGCCTGAGGTCAGGAGCCACAAAGTGCATCTTCATTAACAGACACTGCTAAACCATTTTTGATAAGGATCATTCGTAACCATTTAGACTTACTGTAAATTTGAGGTTAGATCATTTTGTCTCGAATGCCACTCTGTCCTCTTCACGTGAACTGAGTTTGTATACAACATGGAACAGCTTTATGCAAAGTTGAATAACCTTCTGCAGAGAGGACACGTAACAGCATGCAAACAGCAGATTTTCACATTTCTGTAAGTCTCTAGTTTAGCCCTCTGGGACTGAAGCCCAGCTGCAGACCTTGTGTTTCCAGTGACTTCCAGAGCGAGCGTGCATGCACACACACACACCTGAGAGATATCCAATTATCCAGAGATCACCACAGGCTCCAGTCTTCCCACCAGCTAATGAATGTCTCCTGCTTAATCCTAATTACATTTAGTCATTAGTCATCTGAGAACGCCTGCACCGAAACCATCTAGACAAATGCAGCATTATTTCAACCTACAAAACCAAAAACACCATTTTCTACCTGAAGCATATGGTTTATATTCCAGCCATGCAGCTAAATAAACAATATTATGTAAGATACAAGAGGTAAATAATGTGACGCTCAGTCCAGAACTACACTGTAAAATAAATAAATAACAGAAAATGTACTGGTAATTTTCCGCAAGGAAATCAGTCGACAGTTGAAACGAGTCGTTAGTAATTTAAATCCCACTTCCGTGACGGCTACACGTCACGGGGTAACACATTTGCATAATGCCCGCCTATGTTCTACGTTGGCCGGCCGCGAACAACTTGACCCCGCCCACAAACACGTCATTCTACTGACGACTGCTTCTCTAATCTCGGGGAGTTCCACGCGGGATTCACAAAACGCTTGCTGCTGAAAGATGGATCAGTATCCTGTTTATTTGGACCAGCTGCTCCACTGAAGTATGATAAATAATAGATGTTTATATTTTCTATAGAGCGTTCAAAACACAGAACTATTGAAATACGCGTATCGTTTCCGAAACGCGCTGTACGCCGTAGACCAATCACAACAGACTAAGCCATCTGACCAATCAGAGCAGAGGAGGCTCACGGAAAGGAGGGGTTTAGAGAGACTGAATCTTTGAACTGCTTTGAACGAATCGTTTGAGAAACGCTGGAAAATGAGGTGATATTAAATGCATATTTTGAGAAAACAAAAGCGTTTTTTGACCTTGCATGGATGTAATCCTATTGTAGGAGACTCCCAAAATAATATAAGGAACCGTAAAAATGGCATAATAGGGGCACTTTAATACAGCACATTGCGCCCTTTTATGATTTTTTTCTTTCATTTTTCCAAGTTAATCAAATATAAATTAGAATGCATTGAATACAAAACATATTTTTTTAATTTACCAGCAAATTTTATTTAATTGTGCATGCCTATTTTTACATTTTCATCATTATAACACCCTACAATCAGGTTTAATTTATTAAAATTAGTTAATGTTTTTAACAAATTAACAATTATTTTAGAAATGAACCATTTTTTTGAGAATGTAATAATCTAGGTTAATGTTATTTTATGAATATACTATTGTTCAGGTAATTCAAGTGTGTTCATAATACATTAACAAAATGAAAACTTAAATGTATGAAATGAATTGAACCTTATCGTAAACTGTTTTGCTTTCGTTTTGCACTTAACTAAAGCTCATTTTTAAAAACACTAATAATTTAATAGCACTTGTTTTATTAGACAAAATAGTATCGTTTTCTATAAATGTCTTTCATACTTGAGGTCAGGATGCCCAAATTGTTTGTAAGCTTTAAAACTATTGATTTCATTTGACAAAATAGTATAGAATTTAAATGTTGGCCACGGTGCAATATAGTTAACTTTTTGGTTGGCCACTTTTTAGATTTTCAGAGTCATTAAATCATATTTTTTGGTTGAAAATGTTAAAAGAAAAGTACAAAAACAAATTAAACCAAATGCAAAAACAATTCTGCAAGTTCCAAGCCAGGAAAATAACAAATGCCTGATATTTCCATGACATTTACAGTACAACAGCTATGCATGGCACAGTAACCTGTAGCCAAGGGCTTTTCTGAGATTTCATAAAAATGATTAGTTTAAAATAAAGGGAGAATCAAAGTAAATCTTTTTAGTCTTCTACACCTCAAAAAAAAAAAAAAGAAGTAGTAGTCGTACCACAGAAGATGCTACTAGGCTAACATTGGCATCTCGTGAGAGATTCCAACCCAAATATCAGCGTGCCACCACTCGATGACACAACATAAATCAAAAATCATGATGAATTCGCAACAGATGGGACAACAACATTACACCAACAGCTCTAGCATGCATGCATGCATGCTCTGTATCAATCAGAGCAACTGTACGCATTCAGAAAAGTTGCGATGATCAACAGATGAAACATTGTATCCGCTGTAATCGCAACGCCATTCGAATGTTCGAATTTCGGCTGTTACAAACGCGCGCGGCGAACGCAGTGAGTGAATGGATTGCTAAAAGCCTTACCACGAGCGCTCGTCTTCCCAAGCACACAGGACGCGTGTGCCTTGAGCTTCATCTCGGACAAACTCACTCTGAAAGAGCCTGGAGACGTAATGAAGAGTCTCTAGGCAGCTCACCACGCATGTGTTGTTCGGAAACCAGCGGATGAAGTTGATGGATTGTTGGTAACAGAAGCACGTAGATCACCAAAGGAGGTTTCTAGGGTTTGTGATCACAGACCACCCCGAAGGCGGGGCGAGACCTCATGTTTTTGGGTGGGTGTGGGGGGCAAAAAGGATGAGAATGGGAAAATCGAAGTCGTGCCATATCATTTCACAGTTAATGAGCTGTTGTCTGCAGTTGAAAGCAGTTATTGATTGTTTTGTTGATTGCTGAGAAAACTTCCTGTTATTGTTATTGCATATTAATAATATTGCCTAAAATATATTATAATAGAATAAACATATCACGTGGCATGCATATGCAACACGCGTATTGACGTTTTATGAGTAGCCTAGGCTACTTCATAATATAACGTTAGTACGCCGCATTTAAAACACTTAATATAATTATTTCCATGAAATAGGCTACGTCTAAATGTCATTTGTGGTCAATTGCGCCAGCTTCTGGTCATTTAAAGTATGAAGCATAGAGGTAGCAAAATTCAATTTATAACGTAGCCTAATAGCCTATGCAAAATGGTAATGCAATTTTCAAAATGGAAATGTATTTCTGTATTTAAATGTACATATGAAAATGTAATTATATAATTTACATTTGACATTTCCAACAGTAGCTTTAATATTACATACTAATTTAACGCTTTATAAGTTGCGAAATGAAAATGAAAATGTATTACCCAAATTGATTTGATATATGTAATATGTCCAAGTAGAAATGGAAGCAAATCATTTATCATTTAAATGTTATTTGTCCTAAATGCATTTAGACTCACGGTTTGGACATTACACTCTAAAAAATGCTGGGTTAAATACAACCCAGTGCTGGGTAAAATAGGGACAAACCCAGCAATTGGGTCAAAACAACCCAATTGCTGGGTTTGTCCTTATTTTACCCAGCACTGGGTTGTATTTAACCCAGCATTTTTTAGAGTGTAGGATTGCATTTTCATCATAACGCCGAGTGATAATTGTAGCAAAATTCAGTGTGTATTTCAAAATGCATTCTGAGCCAAATGTAGGCCGGTAAAATAGGGACAAACCCAGCAATTGGGTCAAAACAACCCAATTGCTGGGTTTGTCCTTATTTTACCCAGCACTGGGTTGTATTTAACCCAGCATTTTTTAGAGTGTAGGATTGCATTTTCATCATAACGCCGAGTGATAATTGTAGCAAAATTCAGTGTGTATTTCAAAATGCATTCTGAGCCAAATGTAGGCCTATAGCAAAAAATTAAAGGTAGTAAAATGGTGGTTTAAATGTCTTTTTTAATGCATTGACACTCACACTTATATGGAAGTATAGAGGTAGCAAAATTCAATTTGCTAAAATGCCCCCTCACAGAAAACTAGAAAAAAATAGACAACAAATGTATCTACACTGTCAAATCATCTGTCAAATCGTCAGATATTTAAATGTGTAATTAAAATTAATTAATTATACATTTAAATTAACATCACAAGAAAAGTTTTGAAGTAGGCCTAGCTTTATGGTTTATGGTAGCTTTCAGTGTTGGGGAAAGTTACTTTTAAAAGTAATGCATTACAATATTGCATTACTCCATAAAAAAGTAACTAATTACGTTACTTGGTTACTTTTTATGGAAAGTAATGCGTTACGTTACTTTTGCGCTACTTTTTAAATCTGGACAGGGCTTGCTTGTTTGTTTTTAAAATAAAAAAGTTCCTTTTTTTGGCAAATATAAAAGCCTTTGCACACCAAAAGGGAAATGAATCAGCCTCAGGCTGAAGGGAAAGTACATTTACGTCCGTACAGTAGAATGCAGAAGAAGACATTTCACATGCAACACATTGGTTAATAGAATGGGAATGAATACATAAAGGATATTTGTGTTGTTTAACATTTAATTATTGCAGGTTTGCGTCATATTCTGAGTTGCGTTATTTTTATTCATTTTGAGGAATACTGAATCTGTGTGTTTTCTTTTTTTTTGTGAGTGAGATATATTAATGCATATTCATATTTATTTTAGAACCACAGTAACATCTTCTGATTTCTCTCAACATGGGGACAGGAGAGCTGTCAGTCAATAAATTACAAAAAAAAAAAAAAAGTAACGTGCGTTACTTATTTGAAAAAGTAACTCAAAAATGTAAATTAAAAAGCAATGCGTTACTTTACTAGTTACTTGAAAAAAGTAATCTGATTACGTAACTTGCGTTACTTGTAATATAGTACCCCCAACACTGGTAGCTTTATGGTAAAAAGTATGACACTGATTAAACATTACGACGTGCATATTTAAACACACACACACAAAAACTCATAACAGAAATGAATAAACAAAATTAGCACTAATACACACACTGAAAATTTACTTGAAAATGCTAGGAAACGATTTTCACTCACTAATTGCTAGTCAATTTCACAAATAGTTACAAAGAAACCTCAAGTAACGCACTGAATTAATGTTACGCTTTATTTTAAAAACAGCGGCCATCTTTTAACTTTCGGTTGCGTTTACTGTTGCAAATACCGATCCCTTGTACTTTACATTTGTCGAAACATGGCTTTCCAGTGTCAGAGGGACGGTTATGTGCGGGAGGTATGTGGCTTTTTCAGATTTTATGATATTTCGCTGTATGTGTATCGCCAGAGAAATGTATGTTTATATAAATAATAAATTAAAAAATTAAATATATAAATTAAAACATATAAATAAAAAAAAATAAAAAGTCCATCTTGTTTGTCAACTTTCCTTTTACAGTTCGACACATGTGTAGTGTCTTGCGTGCCTGCAGAATGAAGCCTAGAGAATAATGGAAAGAAAGAAAAGCTGAAGGGCTTTAATCTGAAACTGAAAGACACCATTCTGTTTCCAGAGGGCGGAGGACAGGTGAGTTTCCCCTCTCTAATGTCATGCCATGCATGTAAATAGATACAGTATGTAAACAATCCCTGCAATATTTTTCCTTGCATGTCTTATTGTTTTTCATTTCCAGCCTGATGATCAAAGGATGGTTGGAGGTGTCAATGTCCTGCGTGTGTTGAGACAGGGTCCAGAGGCAGTGCATTTCATCAGCTCTGCTCTGGAGGAGGGTCAGGAGGTGCACATCAAGCTGGACTGGGAACGGCGCTTTGACCATATGCAGCAGCATTCGAGTAAGGAAGGAATGAGTGTGTTTAGATGAACTTTTACTTTAACCTTGTAAAGGCTGATATATAAAATAATAGTCAGGAAAATATCTAATTAGACAAAAGATTGCAATTTGTTTTTCTTGAGTTTCAAATTTGATTCATCAGGGTTTTATTACTCTTATAGCATGATATAGTGAGAATATGCAGCTTTAGTGACACTAGGAGAGGAAAAAACACATCAGGACTAAAATGAGCAACAGTATGGTGCAGTTGCTGATATTTATATTTCAAACAAGATAAAATTCTGATAGCTTGTGATGTAAATCAATGAGATCTTCGTAACAGTAACAGACTACACTCTTAAAAATAAAGGTGCTTCACGATGCCATAGAAGAACCTTTTTGTCTAAATGGTTCCATAAAGAACCTTTAACATCTGAAGAACCTTTCTGTTTCACAAAAGGTTCTTTGAGGCGAAAGAAGGTTCTTCAGATTATAAAAAGGTAAGAAAGAGATGGTTCTTTAAAGAACCTTTGACTGAATGGTTCTTTGTGGAACCAAAAATGGTTCTTCTATGGCATCGCTTGAACCTTTTGAAGCACCTTTATTTTTAAGAGTGTACTTATGTAATGCATGTAAATAGTTGTTGCTATTTCCTAATAATGTGTCTTAGTAAGATGATATTTAATGCTTAGTTTTATGATCAAAGCTCTGTAGTTTTTATTGTGGGGGCAAAGCATATAGTGCAATGCAATACAATGATGATTGAGAGAGAAGAACAAAATTATGCATGATATGGATAATCAAGTAAACCTAAGTTGCTTCAATCCATTCAGTCATTACTAACAATAAAAAAGGTATTTATATGGTTGCACACACACACACACAACCTTTTACTTACTAAAATAAAGTATTTATCAATCAGATGACATAAGGCATCTGCTAGATTGTGTGCAACAGGTTTTTCCACAAACTTTTGATCATGTAGAGGGCTTAGAAATTTGCACATCAAATATGATACAGTAGGCTTTATAGGGTTAAATGAAGCTCAAACTAATTTCATCACATGCTTATTGTCATTTCTAAAGGTCAACACTTGATCACAGCTTTAGCTGATACAATGTTTGGATACAAAACTACCTCTTGTTAAGAGCTTGGCAGGATCTATTAAATGATTTGGGAAATAAATTTGATTTCTAAATGTTAAACCATCCGGCTGGTTATGAAATGATCCAGGGATTTAGGACGTCAGCGTAGCAGCATGGAGCTGGACACAGCCACGGTGAAGCCTGGAGAGATGGAGGCTTTGGAGGCGGCTGTGAATGAGAAGATTCGTGCACACATTCCAGTTGCTGTCAATCTCCTGTCAGTTGATGATCCTGCTGTGGAGAAGGCATGTGTGCACCTTCAGAAATCATCTTTTAGTTTTTTTTAGGAATCACATTTTCACAACATTTACACACTTTAAGTTGTACAACCCAAACTACAGAACAAGTGAGTTATGTTTAATCAGTAATTCAATGTGTGCAATAATAATAAAAAGAATAAGGACACAACATTAATTAAATTTAAAATGAAACAAAGCACAAAACAAAAATAAATAATCAAAATAAATGATATTCAAAGTGAAAAACTATCATATACACTGTTGTTCAAACGTTTGGGTTTGCTAATATGTTTTTAAAAGAAAGTCTTATGCTCACCAAAGGTGCATTTATTTGATCCAACATATAGTAAACACAGTAAAACTGTAAAATAGTTTTACAATTTAAAATAACAATTTTCTGGTTGAATGTATTTTAAAATATAATTTATTCCTGTTATGCAAAGCTGAATTGTCAGCATCACTTCTAAAGTCTTCATTGTCACATGATCCTTCAGAAATCATTCTAATATGCTGATTTAATGCTCAAGAAACCTTTATCATTATTATTAATGTTGAAAATGGTTGT